TATAAGCTTTTCTTAAGTGTGACTTTTGGGATTTAACCTGAATGCACAGTGATGGACTGCTCTGATGGGATATGATCCAGTTTTTAGGTAAAAATATGCTGTTTAAAAAAACAGACCTACATGGTTTTGAGTTAGTAAGTTGATAAAATACTTTATCACCCTGAATTTTTGGTTCCGATAAACTATGTGTTGCACTGTTTTATTTTTATCAGACACAAGGTCACATCATGTAGTGGGGAAGGAGTCCTGGATTCTCCTCCAGACTCCATAACTCAATATCCAAATCATCCAGACAAATCATACTCTCTCCAGGGCTCCTTTCTAAAAATTTATTTAGGGCCAGGGATTTAGCTCAGTGGTTTTGCCGCCTGCTGCTCAAGTGCAAGGACCGGAGTTCGATCCCCGGTACCAAAAATAAATAAAAAAATAAAAAAATAAAAAAATAAATAAATAAATAAAAATTTATTTAAAAAGAAAAAGAGGTGGCTTTGGAGGAATAGGGCAAGGTTTGCCTATGATCTAAGAAATCCTTTCTAGTAAAATTCAGTTAGGATGAGTAAAGGCGATTTAAGTTGAAAATGTAGATTTGCACAGTGAACCACAGTGATATTTTACTTTTGAACTAAGAATTTTAATAATGATCCCGCCACCCCTTAAACTTCACAGAAAACAATACTCCATTTATTTATTTATTGAGACAAGGTCTCATTATGTAGCCCAGGCTGGCCTCAAACTTGTGGCAATCCTCCTGCCTCACCCTCCTGAGTGCTGGGATAACAAGCATGGCACATCATGCCCAGCTAATTTGGCAGTTTATAACACAGTTCCATCTTTGACACCAAAATCATTTTACTAATATCTTTAGCATTTAAAGAGTTACTTCTAGTAGCAGACTTTGCGAGTGCTGATGGCACCCAAAGTAGGAAATGACAAAATTTTATCCTTCTTTGCACTTTGCGCCTCATGAAATAAAAGTCAGAAATACAAGTTATTTCACACGTCCTCAAAAGGCTCAGCTAAAACAGGCTACTGGAGGTGTTGCATTAGGAAAACAGAAAAATCATTTCTAGATGAAAATAAAACACACAGAAGCCTCCAAATTGGCAAGAAAGAGCAGTTATATGATTCGTTTAGTTATTTAAGAGCTAGGATGCAAGAGATCGTCAGAGGCTTTCCTAATTTTTCACCACCAGGGTAGTTTTAGTCATTTTTATACCGGGTATTTCTTATAAAAATAACTTCACGAGGAGGGGCCCTACTAAACTCCAGCTTTACTGAGCTTTGCAACCTTACTGCCCATCTCTTTATGGCATTGAGGATGCATCAGCCAGTAATCAGATCATAACGGGGAAATCAGGCAGAGAAACCTCGAACAAATTATATTTTTAAAGGATGTGGTCATTCCAAGACAGAAAATCCAAGCTGGCTACAATTTCCCTGTCTATGTTGCAAAGGGCTAGGTTGGGCTGGGTACAAGAAAAGGAAAGCAGAGCTCAGCTGGGGCCGGAGAGCTGCAGTGGGAACAAATTCCCAAACACATAATGTGAAACAAAGCAGCCCGGAGGACGCGACCTGCCTCGGAAAGGGTGCCCACGAGGCTCAGTCTGGGTGAGTTCAGGTGTGGGGCGTGTTACCCAGCGCCCCTGGCCGGGAGCCCCATTCACCTGGGCGTGGCTCTTGCCAGTGCACACCGCAGCCTCCCGAGTGTCCGCGTGCAAAGTCACTGCTTAATCCAGGTCGCCCCGGGCTAATTAGAGCCTCTTCACGGAAGAAGGAGGAGCCAAGGACTTCTTTCCTAAGCACAGGGGCATCAGGAGGTCGACAGTCTTCCGGCCCAGCGGGGCCGCCTTCCTTGGACACTGCCAGGCCAAGGGCCCCTAGGGACTCGCGCCAACCGAGGGCAATTGCTTCCTTACTCCCAACCTGCTCCAGGGACCCTCCCTGGTGATCGGCGGCCAGTCGGGTCTCAGAATCAGGCCCCTGCCAGGGCCGCTTCCTCCCCGGCCCCGGTCTTTGGTTCGCAGCCAGCAGTCGGGGCGCCGGGCGGGGCGCGTCCCGGAGGCCTAGGCGGCGCGCTATTCCTGTCGCTGTGAGCTACCGGCATGTTATGTCCAGCGCCCAATCAAGTCTCCAACACTCCGCACTGACCTGTGCCCCCCCTCCGTTCCTAATCCCCCAAGCTTTGATTTGATCCTCTGCGCAGAACAAGCTCACCCCCCCTTGCCCCATAGTCACTTGTCCCTGGCCCTCACGGGTGCTCCCAGAACCCGTGCTCCTCGTCCACCCCCAGAAGAGCAGAGCTCTCTCCCCGCGCTCCTGACGTCTGTCTGGAGTCAGGGCCGCATCTGCATGTTTGCGCCGTCGGAGACCCAGCACCCACGCTGTCCACTGGCAGCTCAGGCCTTCCAGGCCCCTGGCGCGTAGGTGTGGTCTCCCCAAATTGGGTCAGGGAGGAGGCTTTGGGCAACGCGCTAGCAGCTTCTGCAGCGGCTGAAACCAAGCCCCGCAACTCCCAGACGGCTCCACATTCCGCACCCTCTGCTGCTAGGGGCTTTTGGGAACCTTTCCCAGACCGGATTTTCGCTGAGAGGGGCAAGGTGCGACTGGTGGACCTAGGTGAAGGCGCCCCGGGCTTTAAGTTGAGCAGGCAAGGGTCTTGGGGATTCCGTGTCCCGAGATGTCTCCGTCTGCGCCCGGCAGCTTCCCGCCCAGGGCATCATGAGTTACTTCCTGTCTTACTGCAAAGCTCACAGCGGCGCGCTGCTCACCGGCTACCAGGCCCTGCGCGCAGAGGGCTTCTTGTGCGACGTGACACTGGAGGCGGAGGGCAGCGAGTTCCCGGCGCACAAGTCCCTCCTGGCGTGCTCCAGCGACTACTTCAGAGCCTTGTTTAAGAGTCACACCCAGGAATCCCGGGCGCGCGTGATCCACCTGCATGTACCGTCGGCGGCCGGCCTGCAGCGCCTGTTGGACTTCATCTACACTGCCTGGCTGCCGCTCTCCATGGACACCATGGAGGACACTCTAGAGGCCGCTAGCTATCTGCAGGTCACTGATGCCCTGGTTCTGTGTGGCCGCTACCTGGAGCGCCACTTGGCCCTAGAAAACTGCTGTTTCACCGCCAATGTGGCAGCACGCTTCGGCCTGGCGCACACGCTGGGCGTGGCGGAGCGCTGCGTGGTGCGACACCTGCGGGATTTACTGTGGCTGGGCGCAGGCCCGGCGGGGCTGCTGGAGCTCAATCCGGTGTCCCTGAGGGCCGTGCTGGGTGCCCCGGATGTGGCGCGGGTGCCCGAGGCTTGGTTGCTGGGGCTGGCGCTGGCCTGGCTGCGGCAGGAGCCCGCAGCCAAACGCCAGGAGCACAGCTCAGCGCTGCTGGAATGTATTCGCTTCGGCCTGGTGCCTGCCGAGGTGCTGCGGCGCGTGTACTCCGGCTCTGGCCTTGTACTACCGCCCCGGGTCAAGGGCCTCATCATCCAGGCCCTCAACTACCACAGGGCACCGTCCCGCCAGCCGCTTATGCAGGGAGAACAAACCAGCATCAGGAGTCCCCAGACCCGCATTTTGTTGGTTGGGGGACGCAGGGCCCGGGAAGCCATAACCGAAGAGGTCGTGGCTCCTCTCGTGGCAGCCAGGGACAGGGGGGCCATGGCTGAGCCGGAGGAGGAGGAAGAAGAGGAAGAGGTAGAAGTAGAGGAAGAAAAGGAGTGGGAGCTCACCCAGGATGTGGTGTCCTTCGACGTATACAATCACCGCTGGCACAGCCTTACACAGCTGCCAGCACCCCTGTTGGGACACAGCGTGTGTACTGTGGGCAACTTCTTGTTTGTGCTGGGCGGGGAGAGCCCTTTGGGCATCACCTCCACTTCCCTAGCCGATGAGCCGCGGGTGGTGACAGCTCAAGTGCACCGTTACGACCCGCGTTTCCACGCTTGGACAGCGGTGCCTGGCATGAGAGAAGCTCGGGCCTACTTCTGGTGCGGCGTGGTGGGCGAGAGTCTCTTAGCTGTAGGGGGCCTGGGCACCCGCGGCGAGGCGCTGGCCTCTGTGGAGATGTACGACCTGCGCAGGGACCGCTGGGTGGCTGCCACGGAGCTGCCCAGGGCCTTGCATGGCCACGCAGGGGCCGTTGGGGAGCGCGGTGTCGTGTACATCTCTGGGGGCAAGGCGGGGAGCGGTGAGGGTGCAGCGAGCAGCCTCCGTGACTTGTATGCCCTGGGCCCTGGGGAGCAGGCGTGGAGCAAGAGGGCGCCTATGGGCACGGCCCGCTTTGGGCACCACCTCGCAGTACTGCGGGGCGCAGTGTTCGCCTTTCTGGGAAGATACGAGCCCTTCTCTGAGATTGAGCGCTATGACCCTGGCACAGACCAGTGGACTCGGCTGCGGCCACTACCCTATGACCGCTTCTGCTATGGGCTGGCCGTGGTGGAGGAGACGGTGCTGCTGCTGGGCGGCCTCAAGTGGCAGGACTCACGCCAGGTACCCACCCGTAACGTGGTCGGCTATGACCTCGACCTGGACCGTTGGGAGGACATCAGCTGTGCTCTGCCCTGGGCCTGGGAAGGTCTGCAGTGCGCAGTGCTGCAGCTGCCTGAGAGTGAGGAGGAGAAAAAGGAGGAAGAGCCTGGAAAAGTGTTAGACTTGGTTTTAGGTTGAATGGGCTAGTCCAGTATGGAGGACAGAGGAGGAAGTCGTGCCCAATTGGGCTTAGAGAGCAACAGATGGGCTTTTTCTAAATTTGGGATTCTGGTAGCAGAATGGCTTCTGGAGGCTCAAGAGGCAAATAAGGCCTTGGCCAAAGAGAAACAGTTCCCCTTGAGCTGAGAATGCGAGACAGGAGAGGTCAAATAGAAGGATTTCTGAGTCAGCTTCAGTAAGCTAGTGAATTTTAGAGACTAACGCTGGGCCAGATACTCAACTTTCAGAAATGAAATGTGACCTTATTTCCCCTCTAATGTTTCCCTAGGTGCCAATCAATGATTACTTTTGTGCATCTCCCCAAAAGCCCCCAAAATGTAAAAGACTTCATCAAACCTCAGAAACTGTTTTTAGCCTGTAATAAATACTACTAGAAGATGGCATTGTCCTAATAGAGAAGGGAAAGTGCCTTGGTTAAACAGTATGGAATATTTGTAAAAACAATGATTTTATGATCCAGAGACATAGATTTTGTAATATGGAACTAAAGAAAAACAATCCCCAAGAAAGCATTCTTTGAAAAAGCATCCTTGGTTAAATTTTACTGCTCCTGGTCCCCACTCCTAGTCTGCTTTTGTGCTGGTTTTAGGCAAATCTGGTTTAAAGTCATATTTAAAAAACAGCTTATTTTGGTGCCTCCCCCTTCCCCAAAAGAATCACAGAGAGAGGAAAGAGGAGGTAAAGTTTCAAGTTTGTGTCAGGTATGTGAGAAATAAGCTTGATTTTCAAGGTCTCAGGGAAGACACTTGTAACCTCTGAACAGGTGTACCACCTGTTCCAGGTGAACTTGTTCCACCAGTGAGGTGGCAATGTTAGAACTCTTAACTGGAATGACGGTAGTGTGATTAGATCACAAAGAAATGTGGTAAGGACTTTGAGTGAATAAAGTAGGTGCTTTATAAGGATTCATTAAGAGCTGAATTTATTTGACTTCAGTTTACAGTGCTGCCTCTCTCCTAGATTTGAAACTAATGCAATAAATTGTACAGATATATAGTGTTAAAAGGTCTCTTTCATGCTAGACTAGGCACGAGTTTTGTCAAATTTATTAGTTTAATTTTTACCACTTAAAACAACAGAACTGACTTTACAAATGTAGAAGCTTCTGAGTAGCGACAGAGCTAGTCTTCCCATCAAATGCCTGCTGTTCACAGGCCACAACCTGGCCATTAATATACATGACACATCCATCAGGTACAAATATTTTTAAGTGAACATACACATTTGGTCTAGTAAACATCAATAAGTCTAAACAACTGTAACGAGCACACTTCAAATTAGGACAAGAGGTTTTTGTTTTGTTTTGCTTTACGTATACAAAATCCCACAAATTTAATGTGCATTAATATCCATGCAGTAAATAAATGTTTTTACAAATAGGTTTTTTTAAATGATAAAAATATTACACTGGACTCCAAATTCCATACAAACATTAATACATGATTTCTCATCCATTTTGACTAAATATAGGATTACTGAAAATGTGCTGTAGAAAGGCCACTCCTATACAGTTGTGCAAAGTCTGCAAAACGATAGTGATTCAATGATGGTTTCAAAAGCAAAGAAAAAGATCTCCGCTGTGGAGTTTTACTTTCTCCTCTACAGCAAAAATATTCACTGGCATATATCTGAACTCTTAAAGATGTAAGTACATTCACTGAGCTGTACAGGCAACAGTATAAAGCTGATTAGAAGATTTTAGGATATAGAATAGTAAAGGAGGGTTCCTTCCTCCTCCTGAAAAAACAGCAAATTGTGACTTGTACATTATGCAGCCAGACACTAAAAAGCAGCACAGTCATTTTCATGCTGTGATCACTTTCAAAAAACGAGACGTTTACAAATGGAAATATATAAAGAGGACTTTTCATAGACTTCATCCACTCTATAGAACAATTCATGATGCTAGGAAAAACTTCTGAATCGTTTCTCTCATATAATTAAATGTGACATCTGAGTGACCACCACCCTTGTGCTCCTTAGAAGTATATATATATATATTTTTTCCGGTACCGGGACTTGAACTCAGGACCTTGTGCTTGCCAGGCAGGAGCAGCGCAGCTGAGCTACGTCCCGGCCCTGTACATTTTTGTTTGCAACATTGTTTTTTACATTACAACATACATCTGCCTGTAACTAAATGTATTGTAATTCCCTGCCTGAAGTATAGTTAAGGAAAGATTGGCAGACTAAGGGAAGAATTGGAAACTACCTGGACAGTTGATTCATTTCAGTTTATATCTTTTTGTCTTTTAAGAGTTAAGAGTTCAAAAACATGAGTTTGGGCTGAAATTTTATAT